CCCCAAAACCCCAAAACCCCAAAACCCCAAAACCCCAAAACCCCAGTTAGTCTGCATGGGATTGAAATAAATTATTTGATATGGCAGAGACAATTAGCCCTGTGAAGTTGTGGACCTTGATTGTCTTACTCTTGCTTTCCTCATCTACGCTAGGAATCATACTTAAGCTTATGGATATGGTCGAAGTGGACGGCCAGGAATTTGAACATCCATTCTTTCAATCCCTACTCATGTTTGTAGGAGAAAGTTTATGAATCTTTGTCTATCTTTTCCAAAAGTACAGGACTGTGAAGGAGTATGGATCAGTACAAGCAAGCCCAGGAATGGTGAAAGCTGTAGAAGAAGGTATGAAAACTGACATTAACCCGCTGATGTTCGCTATCCCGATGCTTTGTGATGCAACTGCCTCCACATTACTGTTAATCGGATACATTAATATTCCTGCAAGTATAGTGCAAATGATGGGTGGGTTCGTTGTCCTCGTTGTTGCTATAATGTCCATCATCTTTCTCAAGAAGAAGCAATACAGACATCATTGGCTTGGAATCCTGCTGATCTTTATCGGAATTGGTATGGTCGCAGCAACCGCTTTGCTGAATAAAGGAGATAGCGACACAAGTAAGAATCCTGTGTTAGGAATTGCCATGTTGATAGGATCGGTTATTATACAGGGATGTCAATATATCGTTGAAGAGAAGCTTCTTGGATCATACTACCTAAACCCAATGAAAGTTGTTGGTTGGGAAGGAATCACCGGCACAATCCTGTTCGCAATTTTGCTTCCTATCCTTCAATTTGTCCCATGTAATGCTTCGATGTGCAGCAATGGAGTTGTTGAAGACACCAGGCTTGCATTCAGCCAAATAGGTAAATCCCCAGTTCTCATCATCTTCATTTGCTTTCATGTTGTTGGAATTGCTGGGATGAACGGTTTGGGTATGGCAGTCACGAAATACGCTTCATCAGCAAGTAGGGTAACATTATCACAAGGAAAGACTGTTCTAGTCTGGTTGTTCTTCCTTATTGTGCCAACCTTCTCTAATATCAAAGGGGAAAAGTTTAGCTTCCTCCAACTGGGAGGGTTTGTTGTCATGGTATTCGGAATCATTGTATATAACGAAATCCTTATCCTTCCATTCTGAGGGTTTGCAGATTCTACGAAGGCGAATCTTCAAAAAAGAGAGTTCCGAGCTAAATCACTCAATTATGATGAGGGTACTATGGAGGAAACAGAAGGCGATCTTGCTACAAATGATGCTTCAGATTATGCTGCTACATCTCCAAAAGCATATGACTACCAAAGAAACTATAAGAGACTGAAAAATCAATTGGGTGAAAAAGCCGGTGAAGGCGAAGGAGAGACTTATTTCAAAATTGAAAATGAAGAAGATTAATATGATGAATAATTATAATTCTTCAACATGAGTATCGACCATAGGGGTTTTGGGGTTTTGGGGTTTTGGGGTTTTGGGGTTTTGGGGTTTTGGGG